AGTTGTTGTGGGGCCCAGGGCCACAGGATCCGGGGTCCTCACAAGTTGCAAAAGGCACAGTAAAGCTGACTCCAATTCATACAGAAGACCAACTTGCAGATATATGCACTAAGGCTCTAGATGCAACTAGTTGTAAGAAATTTTGTTTTAAGCTAGGATTGCAAGATTGAGAAGGGGTGTAGAATTTATAGAAAGAATATATTGTAATTTTTTTCATTCCTGAACTTTCCTTTGTGCGTTCGATACATTCTGCTGTAATAAATTTTATCTGCGTTTATAACAAATACCTAGATCTTTAATAGAAATAAATTGTATTTATTTTATAACTGATAACTAACGGACGCTTTTTGTTCTTTTCCAGACTCCATTTTGATTTTGATTATTTTTACCGCTAAAAACTTTATGTGTATACATATTTACAAGCTGTCAAAATTTTATGTAGTCCCACGAGCGAGGTAAAAATTATGGGATTCGTATTTACAACGAGAAATCACAAAATATTTGTTTGATCTTTCCAAATTTTCTCTTTTTTATCAGTTGGCAAAGGCCCTCAGACCCTGTCTCCACAGGAAAACACTGATGTCGTGATAACCATGTCACAAAATATATTTCCAATGGAGACCGCCTATTCCTCATAGGCTGCAATATATACGCTGGCAATTCGATAGTTTGACAGCCATATTTTCATTTGAAAGAAAGCGTGCTGGTGGTAATATCGATGAAATTTTGATATAAAATCAAAATAAAAATCCGTTCTCTGTTGGATTATTTATGATTACGTTTTAGGAAATTATTCAGCAAACTTTTTAAAAATTTTAATGTTTTTAAACAGCGATATTAAAAAAAAAATTTCTGGTGGCGTCATGCGGCAAATGCTTATTTCAAGATATCAAAGTGCCCACATACAAAAACTTGCAATCATCTTGCAGTCATCGGTGACTTTTGCTTCATAATTCCGCTTTGACAGATAAGTTCAATACATGATTTTATATGAGTCTTGCTAAATAAGGTTCTTTCCCGTACGCAACGCGGGATCCCGCGGGTGCCAAAAATAGGCCAGAAATCATTCCCGTACTCAACAAAATGGGTAATAGAGAGCGAACATTGGAACGTATTGGATCTTAAGTGTCTTCTTCTTCCTGCCCGAAACAGCCCGGACTTTTTCTCCGGGTAAAAATGGGTAATAATATTACATTTACATTGGACCAAAATGCGTGATTTGAAATCATTCATTTGAAGGTGTTTACACTGCTTGATCCGCATTTGCTTTGACTTCTCATCAAATGAAAAGGGAAGACAAAAACAAAATGTATGTAAACAAACACTACATTTATTATATTGTTAACGCTTTTTGGACACAAAAAGGCAATTATTCTTTGATTAAACTAAAAATGTGTAAAGCTCTTGTATAAATTAACAATTTTTACACACAAATTTCAAAGATTTATTTATTTCGTTGTGTTTGTTTTGTGTTTGAAAAATTCCAAATGTCAAAGACAAACCAAAGCTTTTGTGGAACTTTTGTTTCTGAGTGCGTTCAATAAAATAGTACGGCAATTGGAACGCATTTGTTTCGTGATTTTGTGTAAATGCGTCGAAATGCGTCATTCTGGAAATGTGAATTTGTATGGAGAAATGCGTGATTTGGCCTCGCATTTGAGGTTTCTCGCCCAAATGACGCATTTGGGCTCAATGTAAATGTAATATTACATTTTCCTTGCAACATTTTTTCTTCTTCCATTCTTGCTCACGTTTTGGCATTTCTCTCTCGCAATTGCACCAGTGTGACGTCACACAAAAGTTATTCTCAAAAATCCTCTCTGATCGGCGCAATCTTGTATTCTATCATTCTTGGGGCCAGTCGGTATGCTGACGTTCGCTCGTTCATGTTGCTTGTCCCTTGGGTCCAGGTGTAAACTTGACATTATTCTCTTTTTTTGCCAAGTGGCCACATTGCCACCAAATGTTGCTCGTTCTTTTTGCAAATCGCCACTTTTGTTCATTCGTTGTCTTTCGTTCGCCGCGAACGGTTGAATTGGTAATTTTCGAGGTTGTCGGAGAAGAATAATCGTTCGCATTGAACGCATTTATTTAAAACGCATTAAAGGTATTTGTAAGCAATTTACAGTATATAGAGTAAAGCTGCAATCACAAATCGCATTACTGCTGCTTTAGTGCTTTGAACATAAATACGAAATTTGTGAAATAATTGCGCCTGTTAAGGGAACCAAAGTTTTTCGCAAGTTAAAAAACCGCAGGCGTGGAAAACGCGTTTGTAAACATACATTTTATTTACGGAAGCTCATTTTGTTCAACACGTATTTTGCGTTGCCGAATGCTATCGCCGTAGAAAAAATAAATATTTTTTGAACTATAGTACACGAGATCGAGCAGCATTTTTACTAAAACACGCACATATCTGACCGTCCATCGTTTCGTGATAAATTTGTAAATATCGGTAAAGAGCAAAGTGAAAAATCAACTACAACACATCTAAACAAACGCAAGAAAAGCCAACAAAATGACCTCGACTCCACCAAAAACGGGTGAAGACTTGCTCGGTGGTAAGTAGTTTTAAAATTTTTATTAAATACAGATGTACAAATACAAATGTATATCTAGCTGTATTACCCTTATACGTACAAATACCAGCTGTGAGTCTACATAATAATAGTTGATGTAAATACATACATAATGGCAAAAAGCAATACCATGCAATTTTGCCACGTTAGTAAAAATTGCTGAAAGGAAGCCTTTCAGCAGCCATTTTAAAGTGTTTTCTCGTCAGTTTGTCTAGCAACAAAGTGTATCTACCTTTCCCCATCGCAATACCTATCGAAGTCAATTACTATGCAATGTTGTTGGTACATACTTGTTGTCTTTTAACTATATCGCGTTGTTTACCTTTTATCGGCGTTAAAGCAGCGAGTATTTTATGTCACCACGATTGGTATTTATTTACTATTCTGTATTAAATTTTGTGTTTATGTATGTGTGTATGTATGTATACTGTTATGTATTTCATATTTTTTGCTTTTCCGTTTTGTTTTTTTTCGCATAGTTTGTATTTTGTGTATACATAACTGGTTTTTACAATTTTTTATTTGCAGACATATGGCTCATGAACGAAAGACACATTTTTTGTACATGTATATGGACATTTTTGGTTCATGTATATGGATGGAAAATCCTGTTTAGGTACATTTCACCTTCGGGGCTTTTATTTAACTACAATCCGCTAAAGTTAATTACAACGATGTGGAAAAATATAAAGATCGTATGATATCACTTTATTAGGATTAGACTACGATCCTATATATATCTGGAAAAATCGCTCTTGTATGGACTTCAACTTTTGTTTAACATGTTTTATTATTCCAGATAATTTGAAACGCCAAACCATAGGTTACAAATTTTCATCTTGTTTTCTTAACTTCGGGCTTTAGATTTTTCATATAAAGTAATCCTGATAGGTTTCGCAAAAACACTCCTAGCCGTTTTATCAATCCCTTTTATCTATCGCTGTTTACATAAACCTATCCTTGCAAAACCAAATAAAAAATTGTCTTTGATCAATTTCGAGTCGTATTTGTTTTTCTGAAAACAAATTTCTTTTTGGGCTATGCAATGTACACTCTTTGCTTTTGGTGGCGCAGGCGCTTTCTAGCTTCCCGTAAAGGAAAAAAATGCTTGGTGTTGATATTGACAGACTTTGTTTTACTTTAGCCGTTGCTGTTGATGTTTTTGCCTTTTTTAGTATTGTATTTTATGTTTGGATGCTCATGTTTACGGTGGGTACATATGTATATGTATACAGTGGTGGAAAAATAAATAGGGACACGACATTTTTTTCAGTGTTTGCCTATTTTTCTGTCGTTTATTAAATATTTATTATTTTTTGTATAAAATTATAGCTCGTTATCTTACAAAAACCATATAAATCCACGTTTCAAACTTTGTGCAAAAATTATAAACATTTTGAAAAATTGCATCTAAATTTCAACTTTTTAATCAGATTTTTTAGAATTTTTTGAGTATGTGGTTTTATAGGCCACTAAATTTTAGTAGAATGAGGCGGATGTTTTAATCGCGTTGATTTTTGGCACTGTATGTATGTAGTAGGTAGGTAAATTTCTTTCTTTGTTTTGTCATTTTAGTTTAGCGCAGCATTTGGCTTAAGCTTTGTTTCTTAACAGATAATCTATCACAAATTTTTACTGGATTCTGCTGGAAAGCGTTTCTTGACACAAAAAATTTGCGGAAGAGAGCCAAAAAGAGAGCATAAAAAACCGAGAGAGCTGCAAATTTCTGCTGGCGAAATTTCTGCCAACAGAAATTTGCAGTCAAGTTTAAAAAGCAGCTGTTCAAAACGCATAAGGAAAAAGCTGGCAAGTTTATTTTACTTCGTTTTAATAAAACAAAATGAGTGCATCGTTATCAAAACAAATGTTGCAGAATGTAGGGATTTGTGCATGCATTTGAAGATGTGTGTGTGTGTGTGTATACTGTGATTGCAAATTTCTGCTAGTTTTCGTTTCTTTACTTTTTCCTCTTTCGATCGCTTTGTGCGTATACTATACTATACTATTCGCCAATCTGCTATCGACAGCTGTAAAAAGTTAAGAAACACTCCTTTTTTTTGGTGGTGAGCTGTCCAACGCTGTAGCGGTTTTCAAGTCTAGTTTTCGTGGCTTTGTTTTGACGCCATTTCCCTTTTGTCGGCAATCACGTCAGCGGTTAGGACGCTTTCGTGTTGTCTTTAAAACGGCACGTAGACACAATCTGGCTCTTTGTAATGAAATGAAAAAGCAAAACAAAATCCGCAATAACAATAATGAAGGCAAAAAAACCAAGCCATGGATGAACGAGGGTTGATACGCAAATTATTTATGTATAATAATGGTTGGTCCCTTATTTTACACTGTACCATGGAAGCCATTAATTGAATTTTTAAAAGAAATTAAGTTGTGATTATAAATTTTTAATATTTATATAATTTTGTTAATGGCGCTATGACTTCTAGCTGGGCTAAATAATTCTTCTTGTTTAAACATTGTCAAATTTCTGTAGTATCAATAAAAAAAAACGCATCGACGGGTTGATAAGCAAATTATGTTTAACTAGCCAATGCCCGCTTGCTTCGCGGCGCCTAATAAGATCTTTTGCGTTGGCCAATACAAAAATAGCGTTTAAAAGCAAAAGAGGTCTGTAAAGCATTTTTAGTTTATTTTAGTAATTGAAACGAATAAAGAGCAGAATCCTCCTCACATATACATAGCAGCGCTGTGATACCATATGGAATACTAATCCCTTTCGATGTCATGAGTTTTACCGATGGTCTTATTTCCACTTGCGGGATCTCTGCCAAGCGTGCGTAATATTCTGCACGTGTGTCAAGTTAGCACTACACTTTTCGAATTTGGAAAAGTTAAC